CAGTGATGATGCCTACGTAGGTGCCTTCGCCTCCCAGCTCCCTCCTCTGAAACAGCCTGGCCTGCCTGTGGGCACACAGGGCTCAGCCAGCCCAGCTGTGGGTCCTGCACTGCTGTGAAGGAGCTGCATGATAGCCCAGAGCTCAGTGCTCTGTGCCCTCTGGGCTTTGGGGTGCTGGGAAGTGTCCTGCCCAAATCTGGGTGTGGGCTTTGCTGCAGCTCCCTTCTGCTGTAGATGAGAATGTCAGCTTCACTGGTTCAGGGGTGCCCAGTGGCAGAACCAGGAGCAATGGCTCCTAAAACACAACGGGTTCCACCTCAACATTAGCAAGAACTTTCCATGGAGGGTGGCAGAGCACTGGAACAGCTGCCCAGGGTAGTCTCTCTCTGGAGACATCCCAAAACCAGCCAGATATTCTCTGCCACCTGCTCCAGGTGTGCCTGCCTTGGCAGGGGTTTGCGCTGGATGATCTCCTGATCTCCCTTCCAGCCCCAGCTATGCTGTGATTCTGTTAGCTCAGGGGCATTTGGACCATTCAGTCCATCCTCCTGTTGAAGGGACAGGCTGCGCCCAGGCTGTGCCTGATGCAGTCCTTGTCTTTCCAAACCCGTGCTGAAGGTTTGCAGAGGCTCCCTGGGCACCCTGTCCATGGGCAGATGGGGAGTACCCAGATCCTGAGCTCCCCCTGAGTGTGTCCTGCCGTGTCCACAGGTGCAGCTGGATAACTTGCCTGGCATGAGTTTGATGGCAGGAAAAGCCCTCAGCTCTGCGCGGATGTCGGACGCCGTGCTCAGCCAGTCGTCGCTGATGGCCAGCCAGCAGCTGCGCGACAGGGACGGCGAGGGTGAGCACGGGGAGGGGGTGTGGGCAGCTCCCCGGGGAGCTGAGTCACAGCCACACGTGCTCAGTCGCCTCTTTGCCCTTACAGAATGCGGGGAGAGTTTGGAAGGTCAAGAGCACGCGAACCTGGGCGACGGCAGCCAGCACCTCAACACCTCCTGCTACCCCTCGACGTGTATCACGGACGTCCTGCTGAGCTACAAGCACCCAGAGGTGCCCTTTGGGATGGAGCAGGCAGGGGTGTAACCAGGAGGGAGTGAGTATCCGTGTGTCCTTCTCTCACCACACCACTCCCATGGGTCGCCTTCCCTGCTCGTTGCTCCAGTGCTGGGGTTGGGACCATCTGCTCGGAGCTCCTGTGCTGAAGCTGATTGCTGTCCCCCCATTTGCCCAGGGACAGCATCCCTCCTTCCAGGCTTGTGCTGCACTCAGAGCCCTCTGCATGGCAGGGTCTCTCTCCTGGGGCAGGGTCAGGAGTGGCCTGGGAGGGCTGGAGGGCTGTGGGAGGAGATGTGCTGTTCTGGTGTCCCCTAACACCTCTCTTTCTCTTTCTCTCTCTTGCAGGGTTTGTATACAGCTTTGAAATGAAAAGGTCCATTTTAAACCAACAGTATCTAGCAGCATTGCGCCAAATTGCCGTAGTATTTCTGACTAACTGGAATACCATGGCCCCTTTCCTCATCCTCACTTCATCCAGTGTGTCGTTCCTTTGGGTTCTTTAATTTCTGCCACACTTGCCTGTAACTCCAGCTACACCCAGAGCCCTGAGCCCGACACGGAGGATCGGCCTCGGCACCGGGGCTGCTCTGGGGGCTGGCCCTGCCCGGGGCCCCACGCCGGGCTGAGCCTCCCTGGAGCCTGCCCTGGGCAGGTCCAAGGGGGCTGGAGCTGCTCCTGGATGGAGGCCACGCTCTCCTTCCCCTCTGTCCCTCTGCACTGGGGGTCTGGCCCTGGCAGCGCTGGCAGGGCCCTCCCCACCCCGGTGCAATCCACTTCTTGTCTCACCTCTGTCTGCTCTGTTCCCTCTCGTGTGTCGGGGTGCTGACAGGATCACCCCTGCCCTCCCTCCCCGTTTCTTTCCAAATCTGCCACGACTTGGGTTTTTTTCTTTCCTGGCTAATGTAGGGCAGATGGATTTTTCTTTGTTTCCTTCGCTTTTCCTCCTGATCACGTAGGAATTGTTTTTTTGGTAAATGTTGTTTTATTATTATTGTTATTAATAAAAGGCAAAAGGAATTTCTGTTTGAGAGAAATTTTTAACTAGATTCTGTTCTATATGAATTGTGACTTGCACCTTTTGTTCAAAGTATTTTATTTCTTTTAATGACATTGTACTTGTGACTGGTTTTCTCTCGTGCCAGTGGCGACAGTGGTAATTCTCCTTATACAGTCGGGACGTGCAGAGGTCTCTTCTTTGTCCCTTTTCCATCCTTTCCGTGGTGGATAGAGCGGGAGGCCCCCCCGCCCTGGGGCTCAGGAGCACGTGGTGTCACCCTTGCCTTTGGGACTTGACAAGCTCCAGCTCAGACCCTTCTTACTGACATTTTTTTCTGGAATATTTTTTAAAACTAAATGAAACATCGACCCAGCCCTCCTGACTTTGCACAGAAGGAAGTGTGAAACCAGCACGGCAGAGGTGACTTTGCTGTCCTTACCCCGTGCCTCTTCCCGGCCTCCCCTTCTCCGGGAGAACGACGCTGACAGCTCCGCGATCCCGGCAGTGGGAGAGGAGGGGAGCTCCGGCCGTGCCCGGCCCCTCGGGATGGAGCGGGAAGGGTGGGAAACGCTGAAAGCCTTTTGCTCTGTCCCTTTGGTTCATTTTCCTTGTGTTTACATGACACTGTATCCTGGGAGAGTCGCCGGGCCCCCCCCAGCAGCAGCTGCCCCGTCACCGTGCCATCCGCAGTATCACACTTTTTTTATCATGGCTTTGTATTGTAGTAATCAATACGCGCAGTATATGTTGAATGTATATTAATATACTTTGCTATTATTTCTGTTTTTTGGAAATGTCAGAAGTATTTTTTTTTTCTTCCTCATTTATGTTGGACTAAAAACGAACAGGAAAAAAAAAAAGTTTCAGTAAATCTTCAGTCCATTTTTTGTGGGTCACTTGCAACTAGTCAATTAGTTGGACAGTGGGATCATAACAAATAAAACCATGATTATGATCTTCCCTGGGCTCCTGTTTGCCTTGTTGCTCAACGCCAGAGTTCAAGGGGCGGCAGCTGCTGTCCCCAGTCCATCCCTGGCGCTGTCCCTTCCCCTGGTCCCCAGCAGCCCCCCTGGCTGGGTGTCCCGGAGCCCCCGGCACTCGCAGCCCCTGCAGCCAGAGCCCGGGTGTGGGGAAGGCAGTGCTGCAGAGCCTGCCTGCATCTGCTGCATCTGCTGCACTGGGGCTTTTCCAGCTGTGGGTAGGGTGTGGGAGGCGCAGGGAGCTGTGCCTGTTGCCTGCAGCACCTGCGGTGGCAGTTCCCGTGCCGTGCCCTTGCTGGCTGGCACGGGCTGGGGCTGCAGGGAGCCGGTGCCACCCAGAAACGGGAGCATCATTGCTCTGCAGCAGCTCCCCCTGGCACTGCCAGCCCTGCACACGCCCTGCAGCCCCTCTGGGGACATGGCCCCTCTCCCCCTGTCCCCTCTCTCCCCTTGCCAGGCGGGCTCAGCCTGATTCCTGTGCATCCCTGCACTGGTGGCAGTGGGACAGGGAAGCTCCTGGGGTTGGCTCGGACTGAGGGGGTTTTGGGGCGGCCGTGCCAGTGCTGGCGCCTGCTCTGAGCCTTCCCCTTGCCCAGGTCCCCAGCTGGGGCTGGCGTGGGCGGGCAGGGGCGCCGCTCCCGGGACCTCTGAGCTGGGGACACGGCGGGAAAAGGGGGTGACGTGAGCGGCCCCGTGAAGGACGGGGCACAGACCCGCGGCCGAGGCGAGGGGTCCGGGTACGGCAGGCCAAATCCCTGCGGGAATAAACCTTGTCCCCGGGCCGGCGGCCAATCCCTGGGGGCTGCGAGGGGCCCCGGCAAGGCCGCGGGGCCAGCGGGAATCTGGGTCACCGGGAGCGTAAACAGCTCCTTGGCCGGCGAGGCGCGTCCCGCGGGGAGCTCCTGTTTGCTCGCCGCCCCTGCCAAGCCCGCGCTCCTCGGCGATGCCGCGCGATCCTTGAACCCTGCGCGCCACATCGCCCGCCGGGAGCGCGGCCGGGGCCGCCGCGCTGGCTTATCTCCGCGGAACTGCCCCTCCGGCATAAATAGCGGCGGCGGAGCCCCGGCCGCTCAGACGGGACGAGCAGCAGCGGTAGAGAGAGCTGGTAAGAGCCCGGGCTGCCCCGCAGGAGCCGCAGGGACCGAGCGGTGCCCCTCGGCCGGGATCCCCGGAGCCGGGCTGGGGGCTCAGCCCCCCCGGGCTGGCTCTGCCGGGGCTCCCCGCGTCCAACTCTCTTGCTCTGCCCGCAGGTCCAGCGCGAAGATGAGAGCCGTGGTGCTGACCCTCGCCCTGCTCTGCCTGACGGGTAGGTCCGGACGGGGCTGCGGTCCCCGGGATGGAGCGGCACGGGCGGGACGCGAGCGCTGCTGGAAGCCGCCGGTTTGCGAAGCGCTTTGCGAGCCGGGCTGCAGCCGAGGGGCTCCCTGGTTCCGCCCGAGCCGGGCTGGAGCCGGCCCCGGGCGGCGTGTCCTGAGCACGGCCGGCTCTCTCCGCAGGCACCCAGGCCCGCTCCTTCTGGCAGCACGATGAGCCCCAGGCACCCCTGGATCGCCTCAAGGACATGCTCGATGTCTACCTGGAGACAGTGAAGGCCAGCGGCAAGGAAGCCATTGCCCAGTTCGAGGCCTCCACCGTGGGCAAACAGCTGGAGTAAGTGGGGGGCGTGTGGCGGGGGGCGTGGGGCTGGGGGGGGCCCGGGGGCCGTGGAGTCGGCCCCTGCAAAAGCGAGCCCCTGGTGGGACGGGGGGCACGGGGCCCCGCGGCTGCGCCCCCCGCGTGTGCCCCCAGCGCCTGAGCCCCCAGCCCTCCTCCTGTGCAGACCCCGGCCCTTACTTGCTCCCACCGCCAGGAAGACGGGGCCCCGCGGCTGCGCCCCCCGCGTGTGCCCCCAGCGCCTGAGCCCCCACCCCAGCCCTCCTCCTGTGCAGACCCCTTACTTGCTCCCACCGCCAGGAAAGCCGTGCAGGCCAGCAGGAACAGCAGCGACGCCTTCATGGCTGGGGAGAGAGCAGAGCGCACGTTGTGGGGCGGCAGGGGGGCACGGGGGGGTCCCGAGCCCGTCCCCTTGCCAGCACGACCCTCTCCAGGGATGTCCCCGCTCACCTGTGCCGGGCTCTGACGCGGGGGCAGCCCCGGGCTCCCTCTTTATAGCCTCTGGGGGATTCGTGCAAAGGTCAGGGCAGGGCGCGGGGGGGCTGCAGGGGCGCTGCGTCCAGCCAGGAGTTGGGAAATCCCGCGGGGACGGAGCCCGCTGGGGCCCCGCGTGTCTGTGCGGGTGTGCCCGGAGCCGGGCAGCGCGGCGGGGGCACACGCGTGTGCGCAGCCAGCCCGGTGCCCGCGGAGGGGCAGCCCTGGGCACGCACGGCACAAGGGTGACATCCAGCGGCCCTGTCCCCGGGCACGACGCCCTCGGGCACCGCGAGGCTCTTCGGACCTTGCCACTGTCCCCGCCACCGCCTGGCCGGTCCCTGCCCCTGCCCGCCGCGCCCTTTGCCCGCAGTGACACATCGGCGCGGCTCCGCTGTCCCCGGGGGGGTGGGCTGGGCCGGGGGCTGCCCCCCGGGTGTGTGCCCAGAGCCCGGTGCCCACGGCCGGGGCACGAACGGGGCCCAGCGGCATTCCCAGGCACCGTGTGGCTGCAGTGCCCTGCAGTGTTCCGGCCTCTTCCTGTGCCAGGGCTCCTTCCAGGAGCCTGGACCGGGAAGGAACGATGGCATCCCGCCTGTGTACAGCCTCGTGTGTCCCCCGGCTCCATCACAGCCCCCCCCGAGCCCGTGTCCTGCCCGGCCCAGCCCGGCCGGTGGCAGAGCTGGGAGGTCTCTGCAGCATCCCCAGCCCCCGTGTCCTGTCACGCTGCCACCCATCCCACAACCACACACGGCAGGTACTGCCCTGCCAGAGCCACTGCCGCAGCCACAGAGCACTGAGGGGTCCCCAGCCCAGGTCCCTGTCCCCAGGAGGGGCTCGGGGTGTCCTGTGTACCCCCACCCCGTCTGTGCCTGTCACCCCCCGGGGGCTGGCGGGGCCATGGGTGATGCCAGGGCTCTGGGTGATGTCAGGCCCGAGCACACGTCAGGCACTTCCACGTTGTGCCCGTGCTAAAGTCCAAGCCCTTGCTGTGTCACAGCCTGCGTGGAAGCGCTCGGGCTGCATAAATAGAGCTGGGAGCTGCCGGCTCTGCAGCTACCGCGGCACTGGCAGCACAGGTGAGGGCTGCAGGGGCTGCAGGGAGCCGGGAGGGAGCCGGGAGGGAGCCAGGGGGGAGCCAGGGGGGAGCCCGGCTCTCCACGGCCTCTGGCTGGGGGCTGCTGGTCCCTGGAGCTTCCTTCACCTCTCTCTGCTCCCACAGGAGTCCCCCGCGCTCAGGATGGCGCCCAAGGCGGCCGCCCTTGTCCTGGTTCTCCTCGCGATCTCAGGTGAGGTGGCACGAGGGTCCCCGGGGCCAGCAGGGTGGAGCTGCCCGGGGCGGTGCTGGCAATGTCCCCGCTGTCCCCGCGGGAACGGGGCTGTGTGAGCGCTGACCCCAGCACCCCCTGCAGGCTCCCGGGCTGATGTGAACCCTGACGAGGTGGCCAGCGTGATCTGGAAGTACTTCACGGAGCTGGGCAGCAATGCCAAGGACACGGTGGAGCAGCTGCACCAGACCGAGCTCAGCAAGCAGCTCAAGTGAGCCCAGCCACGGGGCCGGGGGGCTCGGGGGGCAGGCAGGGCCCGGGGGGTGGGCACGCCGGCCCTGACTGTCCCCTCTCCCCAGCACCCTGCTGAAGAGCAACCTGCAGAGCGTCAGCGCCTACGCCGAGGACCTGCAGGAGCGGCTGGTGCCCTTCGCCGTGGACATGCAGGCGCGGCTGGCGCAGGACTCGCAGCGGCTGAAGGAGCAGATCCGGCGGGAGCTGCAGGAGCTGCAGGCCAAGCTGGCGCCCTACGCCGACGAGGTGCACCAGCAGATCGGCACCAACATCCGGCAGCTGCAGGCCAAGATGAGCCCGTACGCCGAGGAGCTGCGCTCGCAGGTGGACCGCAGCGCCGGCGAGCTGAAGCGGGCGCTGGAGCCCTACGCGGCCGAGCTGCGGGAGCGGCTGCAGGACAACGCCGAGAGCATCCAGGCCTCGCTGAGCCCCTACGCTGACCGCCTGCAGCAGCAGATCGACGGCGGCGTGGAGAGCGTCAAGCAGCGGCTGGCGCCCGTGGCGGACGAGCTGAAGGCGCAGGTGGAGCAGAGCGTGGCCGAGCTGCGCAAAGGGCTCAGCCCCTACGCGCAGGAGGTGCAGGACGGCCTGAACCGGCAGCTGGACAGCCTGACCGTGCAGATGGAGCGCGTGGCCGAGGAGCTGCGCTCCCGCCTGGCCGCCAGCTCCGAGGAGCTGCGCGCCCAGCTGAGCCCGCTGGCCCGGGAGCTGCGGGAGGCGGCGAGCGGCGACGCCGAGAGCCTCCGGCAGCGCCTGCAGCCCCTGGCGCAGCAGCTGGAGCAGCGCGTGGGGCAGACGCTGGAGACCTTCCGGCAGCAGGCGGCTCCCTTCGGAGAGACCTTCGGCAAGCAGCTGGTGCAGCGGCTGGAGGAGATGCGCGGCAAGCTGGACTCGGGCGCGGCCGGCGTGGAGGATCACCTGGAGCTGCTGGAGAAGGAGGTGCGGGAGAAGGTGGCTGCTTTCCTCAGCACCGCCGCGCCCCCGCAGAATTAAACCGGCCGGCCACGCACATTCCGAGCGTTCCTGGCCGCTTCCAGTGGTAGAAATAAATCTCCTTGTGATGCACGTGCTGCTCCGTGTCCTTCCTTCCCACGGCATCCCGCTGTCCGTCCTAGCCCGGGGGGGGACACCCGGGGCACCCTCGGCTGCTCTGAGGGGGGAGCGTCACCCCGGCTGCGGGAGAGGGAGCAGAGGTGGGGCGGTGGGTGCGAGGTGTCCGCGGTGGCCGGGGATGGCGGCAGCCGGGTGAGCCCGTGGGCGAGCACAGGGCCGGGGCCGCGCTGTGCCCTCAGAGCAGCTGGGGACACGCAGGTGGCCGCAGAGGGACAGAGCCGCGGGGTGCGGCCGAACATCCCAGCGCGGCTGCCAGGAGCGCTGGGGACCCGTGCGTGGGTGACACTCGCCTCGTCCATCGCAGCGAGGGAGCCCCGCGGGCCAGCGAGAGGGAAAAGGGACTGCGGGGCTGCTGGCAGGAGCCGGGGCTGGCACAGCACGGGACGAGGCACGGGCAGCGCTGCCCGGAGCCGCCTCACGTGTCGGCGCAGGCGAGGGAGCCGCGCGGACTTCGGCAGCTCGGTGTTTCACCCCGGCAGCGCCGGACTTCGCCCGCAGCCGCGGGTGCCCGGGCTCGCTCCCGGCAGGGACCGAGGCGCGGAGGAAAGGAGCCGGCGGTGTCGGCGGGAGCGCGGCCGCGCCGGGGAAGGTGCGAGCCCGGCCGCTCATCCCCGCACGGCCGGAGCCGGGCTCGCCTCCCGCAGCCCCCGCGGGGCTCCGGCTCGCTCTGAGCCCCGGCAGGAGCCGCACCGCTGTCCCCGGCCCCGGCCCCAGCCCAGCCCCGGCCCCCGAGCCCGGGGGGCAGCGGCTCAGGTGGCCGCCCCCAGGTCACCTCCCCGGAACCTCCACGTTGTGTTTACACGGAGTGAGGTCCAAAAAGCCTTCCCGTACCCAAAGCCGCCTTATCGGCCGCTCCTCGGCCGCCCCCCGAGCCTATAAAAGGGCGGCCAGCGGGCACCTCCGGGCGGGAGGGACACGGGAGGCGAGCGGAGCCAGGTGAGGGGCGGCCGGAGGAGCTGGGTGTGACCCCAGGCGCAGGGCTGCGGGGCAGCCCAGGTGCTTGGGGAACCCCAGGGGGTTTTGGGGAGCTAAAGGGGACCCCCAGGAGCGAGGTCCTGGCGGGGAGCAGCGAGGGGCGCGCAGGGGAGGCACCGCGCCCCCGCGAGCACTCGCACGGCTCCTCTCCGCTCTCCCGCAGCCCCACCATGCTGCTGAGCGCTGCGCTGCTCCTCTCGCTCCTGGCCGCCTGCCCGGGCGGGTGCGGGCCCGGGGCCGGCCGGCCGGGCTGGGCAGCAGCGCAAGAGCCGCTCCCGGCCGCGGCGGGCCCGGGCAAGGCGGCGCAGAGCGGGCTGTGGCAGTACCTGAGCCAGCTGACGGGCGACAAGGACAGCCGGGAGCGCGGCCACGGCAAGCTGGGCAGGGACATGGCGTGAGTGCCGCGCCCCGGCCGGCCCTGCCTGGGGCCAGCGGGGCAGGGCCCGAGGGGTGACACCTTTATCCCTGCCTGGGGACATCGGGGCAGGTGACACCTTTATCCCTGCTGGAGACATCGGGGGGGGGCAGCCTTTATTGGGGGTGCGGGGCACGGAGGGGCCGCGGCCACCCGCGGGTCTCGGTGACTCTCTCGTGCAGGAACCTGAAGGAGAGCATCCAGGACGGGGTCAGCTCCATGGGGGGCTTCCTGGAGAAGCTGTCCCCGCTGGGCGGGGCCCTGCAGCCGCGGCTGAACGAGGACCCGGCGGGCCTGCGCAAGGCGCTCCGCAGGGAGCTGGACAGCCTGCGCCTCAGGCTGTCCCCGCACGTGGACGAGGTGCACCAGCAGGTCGGCAAGCGGCTGGACGAGCTGCGGCAGCAGCTGCGGCCGTTCACCGAGGAGCTCCTGGAGCAGGTGTCGCTGCGGGCGCGGGAGCTGCGGCGGCACCTGCTGCCCAGCCGGGAGGCGGCGGCGCAGCTGCTGGACGGCGCCGACGAGCTGCAGCGCTTCGCGGCTCACTACGCCGACAAGATCGCCTTCCACACGGAGCAGGTGAAGGACATCTTCCAGCCGTACGCGGAGCGGCTGCTGACCGAGATCCAGCGCAACGTGCGGGAGCTGCAGCGCGGCGTGGCCCCGCACGCCCGCGCCAGCCCCGAGCAGCTCAACCGGCACATCCAGGAGCTGTCGGCCAAGCTGGCCCGCAACGCGCGGGACCTGCACCGGCAGATCCAGAAGAACCTGGAGCAGCTGAAGGCCAAGCTGAGCCTGTGGCCCGGCAGCCCCGCGGCGCCGCCGGGCCGCTCCCGGGAGGCGCTGGCGCGGGAGGTGCAGCGGCGCGTGGAGGAGTTCCGCCGGGACACGTACGCGCAGATCCAGGCCTTCACCCGGGCGCTGGACCAGGAGACGGAGGAGATGCGCCTGAAGCTCAGCGCCCGCCCGGAGCCGCCCGAGGAGCCGCTGGACGCGCCGCCGCCGCCCGTCGAGGACCTGCGCGCCCGGCTGGACGCGCTGTGGCGGGACCTGGCGCTGAGCCTGAGCGAGCGGGGCGGGGAGGGTCTCGGGGAGGATCCCGGGGAGGGTCCCGGGGAAGGCCCGGGCCGGGCCCGCGGCTGATCGCCAATAAAGGCGCCGCCATCGCGGCCCGCGCGCGTCACATGACCCGGCCCAGCCACGTGATCGTACGTCATCACCCCGCGCCGCGCCACCATCATGTCGGCGCTGGGGGCCACGGAGGCGGCGGCCGCGCCCGGTGGGGCTCTGTTCCGGCCGCTCAGCGCCGAGGATGGCGAGCAGCAGCCGGCAGAGATCGAGTCCCTGTGCATGAATTGCTACCGCAACGTGAGGGGCCCCGGCGGACCCGGCAGCGGCGGCCTGCGGGGACTGGGGGGCACAGGGGCCTGTGGAGGCCTGGGGGAGAGCGGGACAGGGGGACACAGGGGCCCGTGGGGGCCCGGGGGAGAGCAGGATAGGGGTGTGCAGGGCCAGGGTGGGTACAGGGTCTGCGGGGTCAGGGGTGTGCGGGTATTGGGGCACTGGGGGCCGTGGGGTCGGGGGGAGAGCAGGACAGGGTGTCCGGGGGTCTGTGGGGCCGGGGGAGAGCAGGACAGGGGTGCAGGGGTCTGTGGGGTCAGGGGGCACAGACCCCCGTGTGGGCCGGGCTCAGGGGTCCCCAGTGGCCGTGGCGAGGAGCGGGCAGGGGCCGGGGCGGTTCCAGAGGGGGCAGGAGTGAGGAAGGACCTGCCGGGGGCCACAGCTGCTCTCGGAGTAGGTGGCACGGGGGTGTCGGGAGGGCGTTTCCAGGAGCTCCCGGGGCCAGGGGAGGTTTGTGGGGCAGGCAGGGGAGGGGCAGGGCCCTGGGCCATGGCCCCTGGCTCGGGTTCCCACGAGCTCCTCGCTGCCCCCCGCAGGGAGTGACGCGGCTCCTGCTCACCAGGATCCCTTTCTTCAAAGAGATCATCGTCAGCTCCTTCTCGTGCCCCAGCTGCTGCTGGTCCAACACGGAGATCCAGGCAGCGGGCAGGATCCAGGAGCAGGGCGTGTGCTACACCCTGGCTGTCACCTCCCGCCAGGTGGGCACTGCCCGCCCTGCTGCAGCTGCAGTCCCTGCAGGGCCGGGCTGGGCCAGCCCCTGGGGGCCCCTGGAGGCTCAGGCTGCTCCCTGGCTCTGCCTGCAGGACATGAACAGGGAGGTGGTGAAGACCGACTGTGCCTCAGCCCGAATCCCAGAGCTGGACTTCGAGGTGCCTGCCTTCAGCCAGAAGGGAGGTGGGTGACTGGAGCGGCGCCCGGGGGGCTCCTGGGGGTCCCTGGGCTCTGCTAACGGTGTCACCAGCTCTGTGTTCTTGCCTTGCCAAGTGCTCACCACCATCGAGGGCATCATTGACAGAGCTGTGGCAGGCCTGGAGCAGGACCAGCCCGCCCGCAGGGTAAGGCTGGGGAGGGGAGCTCCTCAGGGAGGGACAACGCCTGGGGTGTCCATCCCCTGTCCCCTGGGCTCACACAGGCTGCTGGGGACAGCTCTGGGCTGTGTCTGTCCCATGGTGTCACAGCTCTGGGCTGTGTCCATCCCCTGGTGTCACAGCTCTGCTCTGTGTCCATTCCTGGTGTCACACAGGCTGCTGGGGACAGCTCTGGGCTGTGCCAGGGTCACCCTCAGCAGCTCTGGGCTGCCCCTGCAGCAGCTGAGCCCCCGGGGGTGATCCCCACTTCCAAGGAGTCCGCTCCCGTTTCTTTTCCAGGCGACGGACAAAGAGGTGGCCAGGAAGATAGACGAGTTCATTGGTAAACTGAGGCAGCTGAAGGAAGTCCAGACCCCCTTCACGTTTGTGAGTGCTGGGAGTGCTCAGCCTGGCTGGGGCAGGGCTGCAGGACAGCTCCCTCACCCCTGCTCCCGCAGATCCTGGACGATCCCTCCGGGAACAGCTTCGTGGAGAACCCGCGCGCGCCGCAGAGGGACGAGGCCCTGCTGGTCACTCGCTACAGGAGGAGCCCCCAGCAGTGTGCCCTGCTGGGCCTGGAGGTGATGCAGCAGCCCCTGCTCCCGGGGACCCCCAGCAGGGACCCCCAGCAGGGACCCCCTGACGCTGCCCTTGCAGGGAGAGGAGCCGGACGCGAAGCCGCTGGACGCTGCCGAGGACCTGAGGGACGAGGTGGGTGCTGCTGCAGGGCTCGGGGACACCCGGGCCAGCTGTGCCAGGCTGCCTGGGGCATTGTGGCATTGTGGCTGCCCCTTCCCTCCGCCAGGTGCTGCAGTTCAACACCAACTGCCCCGAGTGCAACGCCCCGGCCAGCACCAACATGAAGTTAGTGCGTATCCTTCGGGGCTGGGCTCTCCCTGCTGCTCCACGGGCCTGGGCGTTCTCAGGTGGGGGGCAGAGCTGTCTCAGGGCTGCTCACAGCTCCCACTTGGGGTCCTGCCACCCCTCGGCTGCTGCTTTGATGTTTGCCTTGACTCCCTGCTCCAGAAATCCCCCACTTCAAGGAGGTGATTATCATGGCCACCAACTGTGACTCCTGTGGGCACAGGACCAACGAGGTGAGCTGGGCACAGGGGCAGGGAGTGGAGTTCTGTGCCTCTGACCCTGAGCTCTGCTTCCCAGCGGGGCTGCTGGGGAGGGAAACTGCCCCTGGGGGCATTGCCAGGAGGTGCTGGGTGCTGAGCTGTGCCAGGTTTGCAGTGGGCAGCTGGGTGAGCCCTGTTGGAGCACAGGGGTGAGCTGGCTGTGGGCTCACTGCCAGCTGTTCCCAGGTGAAGTCTGGAGGAGCCATCGAGCCGCAGGGCACCAGGATCTCCCTCAGGATCACGGACCCTTCGGACATGACCAGGGACATCCTGAAGGTGCAGTGCCCAGGATACCTGCCCTGTTCTCCTGTGGGGTGTGGGGGCTCTGGGGGCCCGGCCCTCCCTGCGTGGGCTCACGGGGGGCTCCCCTCTGCAGTCAGAGACGTGCAGCGTGGAGATCCCCGAGCTGGAGTTCGAGCTGGGCATGGGAGCGCTGGGGGGGAAGTTCACCACGCTGGAGGGGCTGCTCAAGGACATCAGGGACCTGGTGAGTGCTCCTGGGGGGCTCAGCCCCCTCCCTGGCCCTGCTGTGGGGCTGGCTGCTCACAGCTGCCTCACCTGCCCCTGCAGGTGGAGAAGAACCCCTTCACCCTGGGGGACAGCTCCACGCCCAGCAGGACGGGGAAGCTGCAGGAGTTCCTTGGGAGGCTGCAGGACGTGAGTTTCCTCTGCATTTTCTGTGCTCTGCACGGGTGCCAGAGGTGCTGAAGGGTTGGGAAGAGCCTGAATGGGGTGTGCTCTGTTCCTGCAGATCATAGAGGGCAAGGCCCAGGCTCACTTCATCTTGGATGACCCTGCAGGCAACAGTTACCTTCAGGTACAGCCCTGGGCCCTCGGGTGGGCTCCCTGGCAGTTTGGGGGGTTTATTTCCCTGGCATGTGGTGGCAGTGGGGCTCCCCTTGGAGATCTGGGCACCAGCAGATGCTGGAAGCCCTGCTGGCTTTGTGGGGGCTGCCCAGGGCTCCCAGCCTGCGCTGGTGGCAGAGGGCAGAGGGGAGAGTAGGGGCTGTGCCCGAGGGCAGAGTGGGCCTGTTGGGGTGCAGAGCTCTCTCCCCCTGTCCCACAGAACGTGTACGCCCCGGAGGAGGACCCGGAGCTGAGCGTGCAGCGCTACGAGCGCAGCTTTGAGCAGAACGAAGAGCTGGGTCTGAACGACATGAAAACAGAGGGCTACGAGCCAGAGCCGGCCTCGGGCCGGTAGCGGGGCCACCCCGGCCCTCCCAGCCCCCTTCCCCAGCTGCGCCCGGGACCAGGACTCGTGCGGGGCCGGGGCTCCTCTGCCCTGGCCGGGCCCGGAGCTGTTCCCGGCGGGGCCGGGGCTCGGGGCCTCCCCGCGGGCTGTGGCTGCTGAGGGCAGGGGGTGGCAAAGGCGGCTCTCCAATAAAGCTGATTGATAACGCTGATGGTGTCGTGTCCTCCTGCTGCTGCTCCATTCATAACCCCGACAGCTGCGAGGCCACGCCTCCAGCCCCGCCCTCAGCTCCATTTATGGCATTGGCTGCAGGTAGACCACGCCCTCAGCCCCACGCGCAGCTCCATTTATGGCATTGGCCGCCGTTTGGCCACGCCCATATCCCCGCCCCTATGCGTTTATGGCATGGGCTGTCTGCTGGCCACGCCTACAGCCCCGTCCCCTCGCCATTCACGGCTCTCAGCGGCCTGGCCACGCCCATCCCGCCATATCTCCATATGTGGTAATGACCACGCCCATCTCTGCCTGCCGCGCTCAGGCCCAGCCCCTTCCTGCCGGCGCCGGAGTTTGACGTCACAGCGCGATGGCGGCGCCGGGGCTGTCGAAGGCCGAGTACCTGCGGCGGTACCTGAGCGGCCCCGCCGAGCCCGCCCAGCCCCGCCGCCGCCGCAAGAGGAAACCGCCGGGCGGCACCGGCAGAGGCGGGTGAGTCCCGCGGGAAGGGGGCACCGGCGCGACCCTGCGCGCTGCCCGGCCTTGGGAACCCCCCGGGCCCACTGCCCCGGCTCCCCTCACAAAGCTCCCTGCGCGCCCCCGCGGCTGCCCCGCCGCGCCTCCCCCCGGTCCTGACGGGCCCTGACGGCCGTCCCCGCTGGCAGGATGCGGATCGTGGATGACGATGTGAGCTGGAACAGCATCGCCGCCGGCCCGGACAAGGAGGAGGAGGAGGAGGACGAGGGGGACATGCCTGTGGTGAGCGGGGAGTGCCTCAGACGCGCTCTCACACCGTCCGTCTGCCCTTGCGGTCACCTCGCGGCTCCTTTTGGGAAGATCTCCTTAGAGCGCCTCTGTGTGGCGGGTTCTGCCCCAGGGGCAGGCGGGAGCCCTGCGGGAAGGAGGGAGCTCCCTGCGGACCAAAGCAGCCCGTTCTCTGTGCCAGCCCGGGGTTCTGTGCAGCCCGTTCTGTGCCAGCCCGGGGTTCTGTGCAGCCCGTTCTCTGTGCCAGCCCGGGGTTCTGTGCAGCCCGTACTCTGTGCCAGCCCGGGGGTCTGTGCAGCCCGTTCTCTGTGCCAGCACAGGGTTCTGTGCAGCCCGTTCTCTGTGCCAGCACGGGGTTCTGTGCAGCCCGTACTCTGTGCCAGCCCGGGGGTCTGTGCAGCCCGTTCTCTGTGCCAGCACGGGGTTCTGTGCAGCCCGTTCTCTGTGCCAGCCCAGGGTTCTGTGCAGCCCGTTCTCTGTGCCAGCCTGGGGTTCTGTGCAGCCCGTTCTCTGTGCCAGCCTGGGGTTCTGTGCAGCCCGTTCTCTCCCAGCACAGGGTTCTTTCTGTGCAGCCCGTTCTCTCTCCCTGCCCGGGGTTCTGTGCTCCAGAGCAGCTGCTGGAGCAGGGCACAGGGACTGGGGTTGTGGTGCCCATGTGGGGAGTGGGAATTGTGCCTTTGCTGAGCCCCTGCTGCTCGCTGGGTGTTGGCAGGTGGCAGAGTTCATTGATGAGCGTCCCGAGGAGGTGAAGCTCATGGAGGAATTCCGAACAAACTCCAAATGGAAGCTCCTCGGAGGTGAGAGCAGCTCCTTCCGCCCTCTCTCCCTAAAGTCTGGCTTTTCCAGACAATGGAGAAATAATCCTGGAGGTGCTGGGGGCTGCTGAGCTGTGCAGAGCCCCAATAATGGTGATTGCAATTGTTTTCCCTCAGATGAGGACTCGCAGAGTTCGGATATTTCGGGACCTGCCAAGTCTGCCACGAGGTAGGGGGCTGCAGGCAGGAGTTCTGCTTGTCTGGCTGTGTCTGTCTGGTTCTGTGCTGTGCTGGGAAATGTGGGCACTTCTGGGTACCCTTCCCTGCTGGACAGCCCCTGCTGGGGCAGGGCACTGGCAGCTCTGGCTGTTTGTGGCACTGCCAGGGGGGTGCTGGGGTTTGGACAGTGCTGATGGTGCAGACTTTGCCATCCCAGCTCTGCTGGGACCCAGCTGCCTGGCAGGGTTTCTGGGATCTGCTGGGACCCAGCTGCCTGGCAGGGTTTCTGGGATCTGCTGGGGCTCAGGGCTGCAGCATCCAAACAAATTCACCATCACAAGCTGCTCCCAGCCTCGGCCAGCTGCCAGCTCTGCGGGTCCTGCTTTGTTCCCAGACAAAGCAAGCAGCAGGGAGCTCACTGTCCCCTTCTCTGTCCCCACAGGCGGCGGCACCACGGCTCCCCAGAGCCCTCGGCCTCAGCAGGGAAACACAACGGCTCCGTGGAGCTCTGTGCTCCCCGGGGACAGCAGCATGGCAGCCCTGAGCTGTCACCCCCCAGGAGACAGCGCCATGACACCCCTGACCCCTCCCCTCCTAGGAGACAGCGCCATGACACGCCAGATCTGTCACCCCCCAGGAGAAAGCGACACGACACCCCTGACTCGTCCCCTCCCCGGAGGCAGCATCATGACACGCCAGACTTGTCACCTCCCAAAAGGCAGCGTTGTGACACCCCGGATCTGTCACCTCCCCGGCGGCGGCAGCGTCACGACACCCCCGACCCCTCACCCCCCAGGAGACAGCGACACGACACACCTGACCTGTCACCTCCCAGGAGACAGCAACATGACACACCTGACCTGTCACCCCCCAGGAGACAGCGACACGACACCCCTGACCTGTCACCTCCCAGGAGACGACGTCCTGGCACCCCAGATCTGTCCCCTCCCCGGCGGCGGCAGCGTCACGACACCCCTGAACCCTCACCTCCCAGGAGACAGCGACACGACACCCCAGATCTGTCCCCTCCCAGGAGACAGCGCCATGACACCCCTGACCCCTCCCCTCCCAGGAGGCAGCGCCATGACACCCCAGATCTGTCCCCTCCCAGGAGACAGCGCCATGACACCCCTGACCCATCCCCTCCCAGGAGACAGCGTCAGGATTTGTCACCTCGGAGAGAGAAGCCGGGGTCCCCGAGTGGGAAGAAGGGCCGAACGAAAGGTGAGTGTCACACGCTGTGTCCCCCGTGTCCTGGGGACCCCTGGGATCCATGCTGCCACAGGTGAGTGCTGTGGGCTGCTGCTCAGCTGGCACAGCTGGCACAACTGGCAGTGGCAGGGGTCTGTCCCTGTGGGCACAGCTGGGTGAGAGCTCAGCCAGCCTGGAGTGCCTCTGCCGTGTGCACAGCGATGCCCTGAGCGCTCCTCCTGGGGGATCACCAAAGCCTCTCTGATTTGTCTCCTCCAGGACGGGCTTCTCCTGCCCAGAGGGACCAGCCCAGGTCCCGGAGCCCCCCGGAGCCCTCCCTGCACCACCGGGATGCCAAGGGCTCTCCCAAGAAGGTAAAGGCTGGCTCTTTCCCTTCCAGCTGTGGAAATCCAATGATGGACGAACTGGGGAAGGTTTTGGCTCTAACAGGGCTGTCCCTGTGGTTTGGGTCCCCCCTCGCTCTGGCTGCTGCTCTGTGCCAGCTGTAACTGGGATTTGTGTGCTCTCCAGGCTGGCACGATGGCATCCGGGGTCAAAGCTGGCCTGGTGTCGGCTGATGTGCTGCAGAGGGAGAAGCAGGAGCTCCAGAAGCACGAGAGGAGCACCAGGCACCTGGAAGGTGGGAGTGGAACACAGCCCGAGCCCCAGCTCCCTCCTCCTCCTCCTCTGCTCTCTGGGCCCTGGCACTGGGATGCTGCTGGGGAGCATCCTGTGGAACTGCAGCTGGACGTGCTGTTGGAAGCTGGGCCAGGGTCTCTGTTCCACAGGGGGATTTCAGAGCAATGCCAGGGAAGTCACAGGGAGTGTGAAATGCTTCTGTGCCAATCTGAAGGAGCTGATGAGAGCTCAGGGTCTGTGAGGGGCAGCAGGGAAATCTCAGCACGAGCTGAGGTCCTGCCTGGCTCTGAGTGACAGGCTCTTTGGGAGATGAGGACCAGCAAAAGAGAAGTCACAGTTAAAAGTCATTGAATTGTCTGGAGGTGATAAAGGTGATAAAATGTTCCAAAATTGTGACTTGAGGCATCTGTCCCTGCCAGAGGAGTCCCGGAACGCTCAGACCGTGTTCCGAGACAAGTCCGGCCGCAAGAGGAACCTGGCCCAGGAGCAGCTGGAGCAGAGGCTGAAGGCTGAGGCAGAGGCCAAGAGAGAAGAGCAATATGCCAAGTGGGGAAAAGGGTGAGTAAGGGACTCCTGAGCTCAGACCTCGGGCCTCCCATCTCCTGGTGTTAGTTTGGGTCTGCTGCCAGACTGGTGCTGCATTTCCCTGCCCTCTGAGGTTGAGCCTGGGACCAGCGCGTGTTCCACGTGTCTGAAAACCCCTTCCCGTGCTGGAGGTGCTTTGGGAATGCTGCACAGGACTTGAGGGGTGTGACCCATCCTGCACATTGAAGGAGTCCCAAGGAGTGGTGGCTGGGGTTTGGGTGACACAGTGTGCTTTCCAGGCTGGCACAGGAGAGGCAGCAGCAGCAGAACGTGGAGGATGCAGTCAAGGAGATGCAGAAGCCCTTGGCCCGTTACATCGATGACCAGGACCTGGACAGAATGCTGAGGGAGCAGGAGAGGGAAGGAGACCCCATGGCTGCTCTCATCAAGAAGAGGAAGGCCAAGGAGAACAAGGAGAAAGGTTTGCCTCTGGAATACACCTGGGTGTGGTTTAAGGTGTCAGCAGTGCAGAAATGCAGCTGCTGTTCAGTAAATAGCCAAGGGGGACTTCTGGACTCTGGAGTTACTGGCCTGTTACCAGTAACAGTTCATGAGTTGTTAGCTGGGAGAGCAGGGCCTGCTGGCTGAAAACTCAGCAGTTTGTCACAGTGAGCCCTTGGGAGCTGCAGCTGGCTGTCAGGAGCCTGTGCTCTCTACCTGTGCCCACCTGCAGACACCTCCTGGGTGGCTGAGGATGTGACCAGCTGGCTGTGCTGAAAACAGCTCTTCTGTTCTTTGTGTTCCAGAAAAACCCAGGTACAAGGGACCAGCTCCTCCACTCAACAGGTTTAACATCTGGCCAGGGCACCGCTGGGACGGTGTGGACAGGTACTTGTTCCTGTTGGAATAACAGTAAAAATAAAGTTAGAATTCTGCTTCAGGGAGTTCCCAGTGTAAAGGTTTCCAGTTCTGGATGAGTGAGAGTGTTGGCAGCTGGAAGGCTGAATGAGTTCAGTTACAAATGGCTGATAGGACAGATGGGACAAGGGAGGTGAGGAGCATCAGCTCTTGGTAACCACAGGTCCAGGGGGAAACTGAGCCAGAGTAAATCAGTGGCGAAGTTGCAGTGCTCAGAAGGGCTGGTGCCCAGCAGCTGCTGTCACCTGGTGTCCCTCTGCAGGTCCAACGGGTTCGAGCAGCAGCGCTTCGCGCGCATTGCCAACAAGAAGGCGGTGCAGGAGCTCGCCTACAAGTGGAGCGTGGAGGACATGTAGGGGACAGCTCCTGCAGTGCCCCACGGGCACCACCTGCTGCCACAGCCCCGAGGAATGGCCTGCTCTCCTGGAACAAGCCCTGTGCCCGGCGTTCAGCAGCCCACTGGGCCATCTTCTGAGAGGCAAGGCTGGGTTTCCCTGCAGCCAGAGCCTCCAGCTCCCTGGGGAGGACACTGCTTTCCTGTTTGTTTTCTAACAAACTAATGTTCTACGCCAAATGACTTCTGAGGGCAGTTCCCAGGTCTTCAGGTGTCCTAAATCTCAGGTGAAAATCTGCTGAATGCTTGGGCTTGGGAGAGTTATCCTCATGCAGTGGGTCACTCTGCTCCAGAACTCAGGTTAAGTGGGACTTCTGAACTTTTGTCAAGTTTATGCAGCTTTTTTGCCATGTAGATCCCAGAGTCACCAACATGCAGGGAAGTTCAAACTCAGCTTCTCCTGACTCTGTCCAAGCAGGAAGCTGAGCAGGGAATGCTGTGGCACTGGAAGAGAGACCTGCAGTGCTGCACTGGGCAGCAGGATCTTCAGGAGCCTCAGCAATTCTTCAGGGCTCCATTTCTAGTGGAAGTCAATGTGTGGAGAATTAGGACTTAAGACCTGGAGTTGCTTCCCTCATAGTTTGGAGCAGCTGGTTCCCCCAGACCCCTCTGGATTTGGGGCTGATCTCAGCACTTGGCTCACTCCGGTGGGAGGTGTAACAGCCCTTGTCCTGTGATCAGATTTGTCAGTCTTGGAGCTTCCCTTAATCCCTGTGTGCCAGAAAGCACTTGTGGAAATAAATACAGTTGTTCTTGTTGAGGTCCCAGGGAGCAGGGAGGAAATGCAGGCAGCAGTTTCCATGGAGATGCCTTGGCTGCAGCAGTGGGCAGGGCAGCATCGCTCTTTTCAGGGATTTTCCAGCACTGGGGGGCCGTGGGTGGGAGGGAGGGACAGAGCACAGTCTGCTCTGGAGTGCCAGACTCTTGGGACATCCCTGCTTTTCATCCCTGTGTCTCATTTCCAGCAGCCCTGGAATTGGTGTGTTCACCTGTAAATAAAACCTTTCTTTTTTTACTCCATTCTGCGTGCTGGTGTTTTTTCCAAGGCAGCTGAACCACGTCCAGGCAGGTGCTTCCAGCTGTGCCTCCCCCTTCTGTCACCAAGGCCCTGTTCCATTTCCCCTGTAACCTGAGGCAGCTGCAGCCTCCACAAGTGCAGTTCCACTTGACACATTCGTTTTTGCTCTCATTTAATCTGAGTGCTGCTGGAGATGTAAAGAACCTGCTGTGGAATGATTGGATTTGCTCTCGTGAGCAGAGCTGGATGCTGGTACCTTCCTCACCTGCCTGGTGACAGTGGCTGCTCTTGCAGAGCCACAGCTGCCAGCAGCTGGCTCGTGTCACTCTGGGGACTGTAAGCTGCTCTTAAGGAGGCAAAGCACTTTTAAATGCTGGTACTAAACAAAATGTGCTTAGGACCTGAAAATGGCATCAGGCTCTGCTCTTGCAGCTGGGTTTGAAGGCTGGGGTTTTAAAATTTTAGAGGTGCTACCCTGGGGACCTCCTTGTTCATCACAATGCTGGATTTTTACATCTGTTACTTGTTTGCTGCCAAATATTGTATTCTTAAGAGATATCTGTGAGGAAAGGGGGGGCTCACGTGGTGAACACCTCCCTCCCTGCTCCCATCCCGTGTGCTGCCTGGGGAGAAGGGAGCTGGGTTTGTCCCTGTGCCCTTGTTCTGCATCCCACATCCCCTGTCCCAGCTGTGGCCTTGTCTGAGCAGCTCTGGCATCAAAGCAATTGGAAAACGCCGTGGGATGCTCTGGGATGAGCTGGGTGATGGAGATGGAGCAGTGACACCGGGGCTGGATCTCTTCATTAGTGGTTCTGGAAGGGCAGAGCCCTGGTCTTGGCATCGAGCAGCAACTTTGATTAGCTTCAACCCAAAAAAATGAATATTAAAATCTTAATTTAATTTAAACCACTGTCATTCACAGTCATGGCAAACAGCAAGCAGAGTAATTATTATGCAAATGAGACAGATAGAAAAATGATTAATAATTGCGCAAATTAAAAATTATTGTAAACATCCTGTGACTGGTGATAAGTCGGGGAGGAGGCAGCGGGGCTCAGCCACCTCCTGCATCCCGATTTCCTCATTAGTGGGAGCAGTAACGAGAATCCTGGGGTGCCTGGGGAGGCCGGGCCAGGCTGGGGATCTGCTCCAGCTCGTCTGTACTGTGAGAAAAGCCGGGTTTAAGCCATTTCCCCCCTTGTGGAGTCCCTGTGCTCCTGCCACTGCCTGTGTGCCCCTCTGCAGCCTGCCGGGGGATGCCCCAGTGCTCCCCAGGCTGCTAATGCCCCTGCGAGCTCCCCCCAGCAATCACCAGCTGATTTCTCTGGTGTTTCTCTGCTAATTGCACAGCTGTATTTTTTCCCCGTTTTCCTCTCATGCTTTTTCCAGGGAGCAGGACCATTCCAGTCCCAGGCTCTCCTGGCTCCTGGGCTTCCACGGGCACCGCTCGTGTCAAGGACGAGCAATTAAGCCTGGCCCCGCGCGGCGTAATTAGATTTTTGTTGATGAGCTCGTGGTAATGTGTTTAGTTTAGATTAAGAGCTTAATTCCTGGGGTGTGACACCGCCTGCCCCGGGAGCCCTGTGCCCACGGGAGTGGGGCTGCTGGAGGGGTGTCCTCGGCCACCACCCCTGCCTGTGTGTCACCTGTCCCCACTAAGGTGAACGTGGCTTCTCTGCCAGCTGCCTCTTGGCTGTTGTTTTTTTAACAGCTCCAGCGAAGTGGCTTTTGGCAGTGTTGTGTTATTGCTCCGTTTCCTGCTGAGCTCTATTATTTTTTAATTAAAAAGAGCCTGAGATTTGTCATTTAATGTCTCTCTAAGCGGCAGCAGCTCCAGGTCGTGGGTGCTTGGCAGAGCTGGTGGCTCCCTGAATCATCCCTGGCTTCCAGCACGGAGCACCTGGGCATGGGGGCACAGAGGGGCTCCCCCCGGGCACAGAACCCCTCTGCTTTTTGGGGAAGAAGAGTTTTCCCTGGTGACTCCATCCCACAGCGGGGCTGGCAGTGAGAATCCCTGAGACTGGCAGGTTAGTGATTGTATATGCATATGTGCACTTTCCCTAATTATGGAATAATTAGGGACACGCAGAGATAAAAATTACTAATAATATTTACTCTAGACTCTTATTTTTTTTTCAATAACCTCTCTCTCTCTTCCTCCTTCACCGAGTCTTGGTGGAAATAACTTTGCAGATCCCAGCTAATGAATATTTGTAAATGCAAGAACATTCGGCGCCGGAATATCCAGAGGGCATCCTCTCTCTGCCTTGTAATTTTTTTTCCACCAGATATTTAATATTTATGGTTCCACAGCCTCGTGAATAAAGAGCCACACGCAAACCCCCAGGAGCTCGGGGGCCGGGATATTTATGGTGCTTCCTCTTTTCCTTTTCAATTACAAAGACACCTCACATAATTAAGTGCTAATAACCTTGTTAATCTAAAATTGATACTCTTTCTCCTGGCTATCTCTTAATAGAATTAAAAACAGATTAATAATCAAGGGTAGGAGAAGTTGCACAGGATTCAGGGAGAGGGGCCACGCTGGGCCCCTCCCGGGAGCCAGCTGGGATGGGCAGCAGCAGAAGGGCTGGCAGGGAGCTGTGCTTTCCCCCTGCTCTTTACACAGCTTAAATTTTTAAGACAAACAGCCATGTAACACCGTCTCCTAATGAAACTGTTTTATGTTAATTAATTATGTATCAAGGCTCATTTTCATGCGCGGCCCGGCTCCGCTTCCCCTCCGCCGAGCCTTTGATCTGTCAGAGGCTAAATGGGAGATAAATAATCAAATTGAGAAGCAGCCTGGATGGAAATAAACACGGTTTAGATGCGTTATCGGGCGGGTAGAGCAAGGCCCTGGTAATGGGGCTCACGGCTCAGCCACGCTCGGCTGCACACGCGGGCTGTGGGAGTGCCTCAGTGTCCCTGGGACAGCTCCGTGTCCTGTGCCTCCGTGTCCTGTGCCTCAGTGTCCCTGGGACAGTTCCGTGTCCTGTGCCTCAGTGTCCCTGGGACAGCTCTGTGTCCTGTGCCTCAGTGTCCCTGGGACAGCAGCGTGTCCTGTGCCTCAGTGTCCCCGGGATAGCACCGTGTCCTGTGCCTCAGTGTCCCTGGGACAGTTCCGTGTCCTGTGCCTCAGTGTCCCTGGGACAGCTCTGTGTCCTGTGCCTCAGTGTCCCTGGGACAGCAGCGTGTCCTGTGCCTCAGTGTCCCTACAGCCACCCCTGGGACAGTGCCTCAGTGTCCCTGGGACAGCTCCGTGTCCTGTGCCTCAGTGTCCCTGCTTTCTCTCCTGGAGCAGTGTCAGACCTTGGCCAAGGCCAGCCCTGCTGCAGTGGCACAGCTGAGGTGCCAGCCTGGAGGGGAGCAGAGGATCACCCGGGCAGAGGATGTGGGAGCAGCCCATCCCTTCAGTGGAAGGGATGCAGGTGGGCACCTGTGCCCTCCCCTGTGCCCTCCCCTGTGCCGTGGGTGGCAGAGAGGAGCGAGCAGCCTTGGGTGGCCCCCATGGCACATCCTGGCCGGGCCAGCAGTGCTCGGGTGGCTGTGCCAGGGCTGCGGGCACGGCCACCAGCCCCGCCCGTGCTTGTCACCCCCCCGAGCCGCAGCCCCGGGCAGGAGCAATCACAGGCAGCGCTCCGAGAGCCTCGTCCCCTCCAGCCTGGCCCCGGGCCCTGCCTTTGGGCTTCTGCGGGCTCCGCTCCAGCCCTGCCAGCTCTCATCAACCCGCGCATCAAAGCCGGAGCTGCCGAACATCCCCGGGAGCGGCGGGGACCGCTCAGCGGAGCAGGGGGCTCAGGGGGGCTGCCCAGGGCACAAAGGGTCTCCACCCGACGAGGGAGCTGCTGGCAATGTCCCTGGGATGTCCCTGAGCAAGGATGGAAGATAACAGGACGTGGTGCTCAGGTCTGGTTGACAGCGTGGTGGTCGCTCAGAGGTTGCACTTGATGCTCTGGGAGTCTTTCCCACCCTGAATGATTCTGTGGTTCATCTCCCACATGTCACACGTGTGCAAGCAGGGAAAAGAGACTTAGCAAGAAAACGCACAAAAATCAAGCAGAGAGGGTGCTGCTGCTCTCTGTAGAGTGGGGTTTGCCTGCCAAGGTCCTCTCTGTGCCACTGTAGCTGCAGACTGGGATTCCCTGCCCGGCCCTGGCGTGGCTCAGCATCCTGCCAGTGAGCTAATCAGGTCAATGCATTTTTAACGGGGCATAGGAAATCTTTATATTTTTTGTCAGGCTCATTCTTCTCCCCCGTCTCTCTGTGGGGGCTGAATTATTTAATGCTGAATATCAAGCAGGGCTGGTTTCCCTGTGCTGGCTGCTGACGGTGCATTTTGGGGCTGCTGAGATTGGCAGTGGCTGCGCTCCCAGCCGGGCCTGGGGGAACCCGTGCAGCAGCAGATTACCTGCTTGCAGCCAGATTTATGGAATACCTTGGGTCCTTCTGGGCGTCTGAATAAGCAGGATAGGCTTGGAGAGGGGATTGGCAGTGCCAGAACAGGGTGCTCACAAATCACAGCATGCCCAGCCTCCCTAATCCCTCTCTGAGTGCACTCAGAGCATCAGCTGGAGTTTGGGTTGATCTCCGCGCTGGGCAAGGCTGGGAGAGCAGAGCAGGACACCAGGGGACCCAGCAGGCTCAGCTCAGCAGATCCCAGCTTGGGGCACCACGGTGGGCAGGGCTGGGCTGGCAGGAACGTGTGACAGCGGGCACAGGTCGTGTGTGGCCAGGAGCACCCGTGGGCACTCAGACACGAGGGGCTGGTTTGTGTATCCGGGTTTATCTTTCCCATTAATGGCTTTCTAAATTGGTGGCAGTGGAGCAAAAAACCCAATCTGAACTCGGAGCATGCATGATTACTATTGTAATAACCTTGGCTAATAAGAATATGATGTGGTGTTAGGCTGGGAAAGAAAACACATTTCTCATTAGCTTTTTGATTAATTACTCCACATAATTTCCTAGGGGGACATGCCTGGGACTGATTGCCTTTGCT